GGGTCCACCGTATTCAAGCCGGGGGCGAACAGCTGCTTGAAGGCCGTGAACGACAGGCCGTCAAACGACCGACGGATTGCACCTAGCATGCTCCTTGCCGCAGGACATGCTCGCACGGTGTTCATCTTGGTCTTCATGGATGAAGTGATGACTCTCAAATCCCGATCGGCAGCCGTCGAACGCAGTGGAACAGTTTCCATCAGATAAGGAATGACCGGTGTCTCCCGTTCCAGGCGCACATGTGCGCATTTCGATGAATTCACTAGAAGTTCCCAGACATCAGCCCAGTAGTGTGACTTGTCCAAATCCTCTTGGAGGGCATGATGGTCCTCTGGTGTTCTGATGACTCTCCACAGTTTCACATCATCCGCGTAGAGCAGGCAATATGAGTTTACCTGCGAGGGCAGGTCATTCACGAAGAGAAGGAACAGTACAGGTCCCAGGACAGAATCTTGTGGCACTCCACCGGTAACAGGATAGCGACGCGACTCGGTCTGGGCAACTCTGACAGTAAACGCCCGCCTGACGAGGAAATCCTCAATCCAGGGTAGTAGTAGGTCTGCAACACCGTGAGCCATCAGCTTCTCCAAAAGCCGTCCGTGTGGCAGCTTGTCGAATGCCTTGCTGAAGTCAGTGAAGATAACGTCTATTTCGTGGCCAGCGGTCTTGGCAGACGCCCATTGCTCCCCAATAAGTAGCAAATTCGAGACGTAAGATCGCTGCTCCGGGCACAGAAGATTGTTCGGAAAGTATTCTCGGAGTCGCTTGGCGAGTACACGTTCCATCACCTTGACGGTCACACAGGTGAGACTGACCGGGTGGTAGTTATCGGAGTCCCCACGGGCTCCTCCCTTGAAGAGAGAGCGTACGATCGTGGTCTTCCACTCGGCGAGCAAACTCCCCTCGGCTAATGATTGTTCGAACAAAACAGCCAAGGTAGGTGCAATGACCGGCGCCAACTTTTTCAGCACGATGGGATGCAATCCGTCAGGACCCAATGACTGGTATGGTTTCAGAGCCGAAAGTGCGTCACGCACCTCGTCTACCGGGATGGCTTGCTAAGACAACAGAGGCACAGAGCGCGACAGTGGGGGGCTCGGTGATGTATCAGTAGCATAAACGAGAGCACAATGTTGCGCAAAAGCTTCCATCTTGTCAACATCCGTTTCTGCCGGGGCACTGTTAATCTCCAACGCTGGTGTGTCAGCCGTTGCACGCATGCGGTGACGGAGATATGCGTAGAAACGCTTCGGCATAGTGATCGTTTCAGATGCCGGGGACTCCTCATACACCCGCCGTCTTCTTGAATTCATCGCGGAGCGAGCATTACGCAGTGCCTTGTATTGGTCATAATTAGATCCATGTGCGCGAAACGCTTTCCACGCCCTGTTTCGACGCTTGAGCATCTGACGGAGCTCTTGATCAAACCAGGGGGCACCACAGCGTGTGACCTGAAGCGTTTAGGTGGAGAAAAGGCTGTCACCAATTCGAGAATGCCGTCCCGGAAGGTAGTCCAGACGAGGTCGACTCCTTAAGGGCAAGTGGTCATCCAGAGGAGGGACTGCGCTACAATCCTCATGCCATCATTGTCCGCTTTCCAGATATTGGGTCAGGAAGGTGGTAAAGAGCGATACGGAGCTCCACGGCGCCAGTGCAACAACAGGGTAGAATGATCGCTCGAACTGAGTGGTGGGAGGTGGTCGATAACGTCAACGCCCGATGTTTGAGGGGATAACACCAGATCAAGGGCAGAATCGTTGATCCTGGTGGGCTCGGGGTGCTGATGCAGTGTCCATTGGTTCACTGCGAGGTCTTTGGAGAATCGGTCAGCTCCCGGCAGTCAGCGATTTTCGTCCCAGTCAATTAGAATTACATTGAAATCACCAAAATCAGACAGTGACCGTCGCTAGTCCATCGATGCATATCGTCTAGGATGGCCACCGGGGCTGTCGCTGATGGTCTGTAGCAGACTCCGATCGTCGTGTAGCCGTTGCAACAGTTTGGTTTTGCACCACAATGCTTCTCCCTGACCGTCAGGATCCGCGTAAATGTGGAGGTGGGTAACCGACACACTTTCGTAGATGAACAGCATGACGTCCCAACCCATCTCCGATTACATTCTATCCGAACGGAATGACGCATACCCCGAGAGAGTACATGCAACATGATGCCAACATTGACACAAACCACATAACAAAGCCTTCGCGCGAGGGCCGATGATCCTCTTGCACTTTGCGTACGGAAAGTTTCTCTTAGTGTCCTTGCTGCACATTATTTCAAAGTAAATCCACAGCAGGAAGTACACAAAACAGAGAAATATATCTTCCGCGATGATGATGGACACGTGGTGTAGCGCAGGTTAAGGTCAATCGTAACTAAGCGATAAACCTCTCCCCTGCTTTTCGTCATACAGTGGTATGTAATAAAAATAACAGCTAGACTAGAGACCACGATTTCTACTCATCTTTCCATGTTTTACGCATCGAACAACAGAAGAAAGTTCTGAGTGACTTATTCTGTGTAACCTACTCAAAGCTATTTATTCATCATCCCAAATATGGTCAATGAAACCACTGACCTTCAGAGATGATGTTCAACCAGCGTACTTGTCGTCATACACCATGCTCAGGTTTTGTTATATGGATCAGCAGTTACTGCACAATATAAAATGCAGAGTATGGATCATGAGTGAGGTTAAGGATGGTTAAATGTACCTGAACGAAACAGGCAGTTTAGTAGAGCTCATAATGAAACCACACGAAGTAGTGTGTAACACGGTCTAGCGAATCCCCACGCGACAAAACGAACTAATGGTTCAGCGACATCGGCGCTTTGCTGAACGCACTTGGCACTGGATGCATACGTAAGCTGAAATAATTTCTCACTCGCAATCAGAATTTTTCCCTCTAGGTAACTATGGCTCAGGATGCATTAATAGTTGAAGATCGATAGATGGTCTGATCAGCAGTCCGATTGAGATGCAAACAAGTCTGGGTAAGTTAGATCACTTCCAAAGCGATGAGGACAGCAGATGATATTTGATGGGCGATAAGCAGCACCGCAAAAATATTCCTGTTCAGCTGTTTGGAACAAAAAGAGATCTCACATTTAATTAATGTCTCACTGAACAGTAAATCTATTCGGCCACCATACTTTGATTTCTGTGTCCTATCAGATGAATTGACAGAGCGCAAATCCGGAGTTCATCTCTCATCTGATTTTTGTCTAATCTGAAAATAACCAAACCCCGAAAAAATATTGCATTCGAAACCTGCGTGGTGGTGACGGGTTTATTCGTTTAATCAGAACTGATCGGTGTGAACCACAAAAATGAATAAACACGGTCGATCTGTAATCGCGATGTTCAAACACAATAATCAGACTGTTTCATGTGAGTAATGGAGGATTTAATTAAATTTCAAATACGAATTCGTCGTATATATGACAAATGGAACGTGAAATGAAAAGCTAGGAAGCACTAGACAGCTGTTTCGACCTGGTTGGGTCTCATCAGCAGTGCGACTCCATCAACCCAACTGGGGATCGAACCCAGGACTTCATGGGCAGAACGTAAGTATGGTACCCACTACACCAACGAGCAGCTGATCAGATCGATAAAGCCAATAAAGTATAAAATAAAAAAGTCGCCTCATTATTCAAGTATACAGTGATTTCGAATATAAGATTTTACAAGTCGTACGAAAACGTAATTGGTGTCCACTCACCGTGCATCTATACTAATGTAACCAGCGCCTCACCCTGCAAAAACAAACTGTTGGTCAAGTCTGACCGCGGAGGGTTTATTTGTCCGTGTATTAACCAAGAGGGCAATCGTAAAACAAATGATTATCGCAAAAGCCGATTGTACTTGCGTGTGTGCATATGGACAATGATTCATGTTCTCTCGGCAATGAACAAGTTCAGCTAAAAGATGCGGACGGAATTACTCATAAGTGAAAAGCATCCCCAATGGGGCTTATCCTCTCCATGAAAAGCAGACCCCAGTGAGTATCATGCTTCGGTGAATTTCGCACTTTGTTAGTCCCAATACGCTTGTATTCTGCCGAGCCCAGAAAGGGAAATAACGGCCTAAGGAACTGAACGTCAAGGTTGATTTTGAGCCTCACCGGGTTTTAATTGAAGGTATCATCTGCCCGAAATGGAAAAGGTTTATACAATGGGTTCAATATACGCTAAGGATGTGACGCAGCAATGAAACACGTTGCTAGTAACTCAAAGCAAACGGCCAAAAGATTACTAATTGAATCGCATCTACAACAGATGACAACTGAAACAAATCCTTCTCGAAAATAAAAACAAGCCTAAAGACTCAATCGAAAATGCTTTAAAGGATATTAAGGGGGACTCATTTCAATATCTACTTCCTAATATTGAAGGACGTCCCATGATTTAGTTTACCCTACATGACCATTCGGGTTCGCTTTCTGTCTTTTGGCTACCCATTCTCATTAGGGAGAGGGCGGAGGATGCTGGAGGCAAAATCAAAAAGATAGAAAATTCAGATAGAACAAAGATGCATGGTGTTTCAGCACATGCTCAAGGACCAGTGTTTACGATACACAAACATATATATATATATATATATATATATATATATATATATATA